CAGATCTCAGTAAGTTTGAGGCCAGCCTGGAAAGCAAGTTCCAGGACTGTCTCACAGAGAAACCTTGACTCGGAAAAAAAAGAAGAAGGGGAGAGAGAGAGAGAGAGAGAGAGAGAGAGAGAGAGAGAGAGAGAGAAAGAAAGAAAGAAAATCTGTATTGCAGAGCATCTAGCTTTAATTCTCAGCACCAATACGGTGGTTTACAACCATCCATTACTCCAGTTCCAGAGAATCCAATGCCTTCTTCTGACTTCCAAGAACACCAGGTATGACTATAGTGTACATACATTTACACAGGCAAAACACCCATACAGATAAAATAAATAAGTAAAAAACTGATAGGACAAATTTAAGAAATAAAAATAAAAAAGGAGGGCTGGAGAGATGGCTCAGCAGTTAAGAGTACTGTCTGGTCTTCCAGAGGACCTAGGTTTGATTCCCAGCATTCAAGTATGGGCATGCAATCTCTGTACCTCAATTCCAGGGCATCTGATACCCTCTTCTGGCCTCTGAGGGCACCAGACATGAAAGTGATGCACCCACATACATGCAGGCAAAACACCCACACACATAAAACAAAATAAATTTTAAAAAATTACAAGACATTGGCAAACCTTATTACTAGAGAAATAAATACAAATTAAATTCCCTGAGATAATTGTTAGTCACAAGTCTTGGCATGGTATAGGCATAAGACTAGGCCCCAGGCCAGGCAGTGGTGGTGCATGCCTTTAATTCTAGCACCTGGGAGGCAAGGACAGGCAGATCTCAGTGAGTCTGAGACCAGCCTGGTCTACAGAGTGAGCTCCAGGACAGCCAGGACTATACAGAGAAACCCTGTCTTGAAAAAAAAAATTTAAAAAGACTGGGATCCAGGACATAACACACACACACACACACACACACACACACACACACACACACACACACGAGCACGCACAAATACTTCCAGAGAGTTGATGAAATCCATTTAATTTTCTATTTATCTGTGTGTTTTTTGAGGACAATAGCTATGTACCATTTATCTTTGATGACATCTGTCCTCAAAGCAAACATTGAGTAAGTATTTCTTGGATGAATTTCTAATATCTATAGAAGAATATAATTAACAAATGTATATTGGTTACTTTCTTGCTGCTGTGGTAAAATACCATGCCCAAGGCAACTTACAGAAGGAAGAGTGTGAATTGACCTTATAGAAGGAAGAGTGTGAATTGACTTACAGTTCCCGAGGGATAAGTGTTCATCGTGGCAGGGAGATGTAGCCCCAAGCAGCAGGCCAGAGGGCATCAGATCCCCTGAAACTGGACTTTTGGAGTTTATGAGTTGTCTGGTGTAGACGCTGGGGACCAAACGCAGGTCCTCTGCAAGGCAGCACATGCTCTCAACTACTGAGCCATCTCTGCGGCCCTTCTCCCTCACTTTTTTGGAACAGGCTGGCCAGGCTATGTCCCAAATTTGGGACAATTTGCTTAGGCTATTTGGACAATGAGTTCCAGGGACCTGTTTGTCTTCTGCCCTTCAGAACTGGTATTAGAGATCAACACTGCAGGGCCTGACTTTTTTCTTTCTTTTCTTCCTCCCCTCCTTCTGCTTCTTCTTGAGACAGGGTTTCTCTGTGCAGCCCTGTCTGTCCTGGAGCTTACTCTGTAGACCATACTTGCTTCGAACTCATACAGATTGTTGCCTCTGTCTCCCAAGTGCTGGGAATAAGGGCATAAGCCACTACCACTGGCTGGCAGGGTTTGACTTTATGTGAGTGTTAGGGATCTGTACTCAGGCCCTGGTGCTAGCCTGGCAGACAATTAACCAACTGAGCCATATTTCCACATATATATGTAAATGTACTTCGATTATCTCATTATCCTTTCTTAACCCCTTCCTCACCCCATTTTGCCCATCATCCTTGCTAATCCTCCTTTTTCTTTCAGCTTTAGATTCTACATATGACAGAAATCACGGGATACTTTGTGAACATGGCTTGCTTCACTTAACATGATGGTCTCTAGTCACATCCACCTCCTTGCAAACAACATAAGTGCATTCTTCTTTATAGCTGAATAAAATTCCATTGTACATATATAGAATTTTGCTTTGTTTTCTTCATACAGGATTTCTCTGTACATCTCTGAAACTTGCTCTGTAGACCAGGTAGGCCTGGAACTCAGGGTTCTACCTGCCTCTGCCAATCAAATACTAGGATTAAAGGTGTTAGCCACTATGCTCAGCTATATATAGAATTTTTTTTGTTTGTTTTTTGTTTTTTTGAGACAAAGTTTCTCTGTGTAGCTTTGCGCCTTTCCTGGAACTCACTTGGTAGCCCAGGCTGGCCTCGAACTCACAGAGATCCGCCTGGCTCTGCCTCCCGAGTGC